GCTCTCTCTCCCCTCCCCCATCATTTCTACTTCCCAGAATACTGAAGACAGGGCTGGGTTAAGGGCTGAGGGTGAGCAATTGCCTGGACCTCTCCTGGCAGAAGCAGAGGGCTCCAGGCAGGAGCCAGCTTCCAACTGCCATGGGTCACAGGCTCCTCCACTGCTCATTCCCCTGGGGAGGCTGGACATAGCAAAATCACCCTGGGGAGGCCTGGGATGTTGTCTCTTAGAACTGAAGCCAGCTCTGGCAACATTGGGAGGCAGTGACGGGTTAAGAAGAGCTTGAAGGGACCGCAGGCCAGCACAAAGCAAGTTCCAACCTCCAGATTCCACACTGTCCTCTCTAAACCGGAGCGCTTCCCAATGTCTTGTACCACTGAGCAGTGGCCCCCAACATTTTTGGCACCAGGGATTGCTTTTGCGAAAGACTTCTTCTGTGCATGGAGATTGGAAGTAGACAGTTTTGAGGTGATTCAAAGACAGCACAACCTAGACATCTCCCCTGCGCAGTTCACAGTAGGGTCTGCTCCCGTATGGGACTCTAATGTCCCTTCTGATCTTCCAGATGGGGAACTTAGGAGGCAATGCACTCAGAGGGGAGTGGCTGTCCATGGACCAGGGAAGGGAGACCCCTGCTGCAGGTTCTAGACATTTGGGGACAGACCTTGAGGAAGGACATCATAGTTAGGAGCAAGTTTAAGAGACACCCAGGGAACACCTGTAATCCCAGTGCTGGGGAGGCTGGGACAGGAGCATCACTGTGAGTCTGAGCTGCATAGCGAGACCCTGCACCAAATAAGTAAAGGATCAACAAAAAAAGTTAAACAGCTAGGCAGGGGTGTACACCTTGCTTCTCAATGCCTTCAGCAAGTGGTCTCAGTTCTGTAAAGCCTCTGTTTCCCTCACTGCAAAGTAGAGATGGCGACTGCACCAGGTCGTGAGGGTTGAAAGGAGCCATGAATAAATTAATTCAAATAAAGTTTTAAAATACAGGGTTTGGAGCATAGTAAGTGCTCAACAAGTGGTGTCCATTGTGATTACTGATGCAGCCTCTTCACAAGGACTCACACCTCTCCTGGAGAGCTGTCTGGCTTGGGTGACAAGAAGCACAGCCTGGCCGAGCAGGTACCTGAAGGGCTCAAGTGACAGGAAGCTCAGCCTGGCCGAGCAGGTACCTGAAGGGCTCAAGTGACAGGAAGCCCAGCCTGGCAGAATGGGTACCTTCAAGGGCAACACAACAGCCTGCAGTTTCAGCAGCTAGAAGAAGCTCCTTTGCTCAGGAGATACAGCCAGCAACACAATGTGCGGTCCCCCATCAGTACCTCAGGTACTGCCAAGTCTGCCCAGGAAGGATCCTGAGACTCACACCAACTCATCTGGTGAGTGGGGGAAATGGAGACCCTGAAGTCTTGCTGGCCCTGAGCCTCCAATCCACAGCGGGAGTCCCCGCTGGCCCCCCCTCACCAGGCTGGCTCCCTGTCTGACGGTGAAGCCAGTTCTCATCCGACCCCACTCTGATCCCTTCACAGGGGAGCGTGGGTGGAACAGGAGCACTGTAGCAGGTGGGGGATTAGAGCCACAAATAGCATTGGGTTTGCCTCTGGCGACGCTGCCAGCGAGGACTCTTCCGGGACCCAACTGCCCTCCCTGCACCAGGAAACCAGGCAGGAAAAACACACCATCTCAGCAGAGCTCAGGCTGTCAGCTTGGATTTGGCCCCACTTCCCTGGAAGCCTGGCAATCCTCCTTCAGGGGAAGCCAGGGGCTGTGAGGACTCCAGGGCTTGCCAAACTGGAGTCTTGGTCATGATTATAGAACAGGAGCAGCAGTCAGTGTCAAAAGCAAGCCTGCTCTTTTCCTTTAAAAGTCACCATTGGTCACCAACATCTATTAAACATGCAAGTGGTACCATGGTAATCCTTTATATGCTTATTAAAAATGTACCAAGGAAGCATGTGTTAATGGTAGCCACAGTCTGCAGATGAGGAAACTGAGGCACAGAGAGGTATAGTGACTTACCTGAAGGCATACAGGGCATACAGGAAGTGAGTGACAGAGCTGGGATTGAACCAGGTCTGTCTAATTTGGGGACTCTAGCTCTCCCCCTCTTTTTTTTTCTTTCTTTTTGTACTGGGACCGAATTCAGGACTTTGTACTTGCAAAGACAGGCACTTATGCCACTGAGCTATTTCACCAGCCCCCTGAGGACCTAAGCTCCTAACTGTGACATTCTCCTGCTACCCTGCTGAGTTGGTAGGAGGACAGGCCAGCCATGGAATGCTCAAGCTGGGATCCACTCAGTCCATAAGGATCCTCCTAACTTTCAACAGTGTCTCTGGCACCATATATGCAGGATCTGGTCTGATACCCCTGGCTGTGGCTGAGTGGACAACAGGCGACAGAAGCCAGCTCATCAGAGTGCTTTCTCAGGACCCTGGACAGCACTTTAATGTCTCCCCCCCACCCCCACCCCACCCCCCAGCCACTGGGCCAAGAGCAATTTAAAAAGAAACTGGGCAGCAGCAGCACTGGCCACGGTCACTCATTCACTCAGCAGCTACTTGCTGCCCACGTGCTCTACACCAGGCTCTGAGGACAGTGAGCAGAACAGGCGAGAATCCCTGCCTGCAAGAGTTTTGCATTGGTGGGGAGCATCCTGTGAGAGTCCAGCTAGGAGGGAAGGTACCAGATATGACAGCCAGAGTGAGGGCAATGCAGGAAGAGGCTGCACAGGAATACAGTGCATGCTTTCAGCTCTCTCTCTCTCTCTCTCTCTCTCTCTCTCTCTCTCTCTCTCTCTTTCTCTCTCTCCCTCTCTGCACTACTGAAATATCTTTTAGAGAAACCAAATAAAAGTTGAGTGTGGGGGTGCATGCCTGTTATCCCAGCTACCTGGGAGACTGAGGCAGGAGGATCAAAAGTTCAAGGGCTGGGGTGTCCCTGAGGGGTAGTGTGCTTGCCTAGCACATGGGAGGCCCTGGCTTCAATCCTCAGTACTGCAGTATAATAAATGAAGGTGCAAGACCCTTACACCCATCCCTTCCATCACTGTCCAGCCCCCCAAGGAAGCTGGCAGAGGCCAAGAAGGATGCCCATGCTGCGGGAACTTGTCCCTGGTGACAGCCTCTCTCCATCCGAGCCCTGCCTGCCCCCAGCCAGCTGTGCAGTAGCTGTGAGGTAAGTGCATCCAGTCACACATCTTTGCATGCAGTGGGCAGTGGCTGCTCCTGGTACGAGTGCCTGGGGTGGGGTTGATCTTGGCCACACCCCACTCCTCACTGGAAATTGGGTCTAGGGGACCAACCTGTGGGCCTTTCTGCATTGGGCAGCCACTTCCCACCCATGCCTAGCACCCCCTTCCCGTGGCCCCTCCACCCAGTGTCCACCCACATGTCCTCCAGCCACCCTCACACCCTGCCTTGCTCCCAGCCCCTGCCCCACTCCATGGCCTTGTCTCTCTTCCACACATCATAGCCACCCCTCATGAGCCTTGCCGTCTCCCACATGGGCTTGCAGGGTCCTGCTCCCAAGCCCTGCTTTCCCCCTTTGGCACGTTCATTCATCACAGATGGTCCTTGAGCCTGGGCCAGGAACTGGACCCACATGGACTCCTCAAGACCTGGCAGGAGAACAACATCATTGCTGTCCCTTCTCCCATTCTGCCAATGACCAAATGGGCTCAGAGAAGCGAAGCCACACACCCAAGGTTCACTGAGGCCACATGGACAGCTGGGCTTGAAGGTGGTCCCCATTCCAGGCCCAGAGCAAAACCTCTGCAGTCTCAGGCCCCACTGCTGCCTCCTACAGAACCCCCAGGAGCCAGTTCTTCAGTTCTCTTACATAATTCATGCCACACATGTTCTCTCTCTCCCTCCCCTTAACACATAACTGTATATTCATGGGGTATAGTGTGATATTTTTTTGTTTTGCAGTACTGTGATTAAACCCAGGTCCTTCACAGTGAGTCACTTTTAAAAAATTTATTTGGGGATAGGGTCTTTTTTTCTAAGTCACTGAGTTGCCCAGGTAGGGTTTGATCTTGGAATCCTTCTGCCTTAGCCTCCCAGAGTGCTGGGATTATAGCTATGCACTCAAACACCTGGCCACATGATGCATACAGGTGCACCCTGTGCAATAATCCGATGGGGGTGACTTGTGTACGCATCACCCCAGATGCTCATCGTGTTTTTGTATCAGGAGCATTCAAAATCCTCTCTGCTAGGCTGGCAGGATAGCTCAGCAGACTAAGCACCTGCTTTGGCAAGCACAGGGACAGGGGCTCAATCCCTGCACCTCATGTCATGCCAGCTTTGCCCCTGGGCACGCTGAGCTGGCGACGGAGATCGGTTGTGGTGGCACACGCCTGTAATCCAGTTCTAGAGAGGCTGAAAACAGGAGGATCACTACGAGTCTGAGCTGCACAGTGTGACCCTGTACCAAATACATTAAAAAAAAAAAAAATCCTCTCTACCATTTCAAGCATTCAATGGATTGATGTCACCTATAATTCTCCTAGTGACCTGCAGAACCATAGAGCACACTGCTCCTGTCCCCCTGCGGCCCGTGCCCATTAAGCGTCCCTCTGCAGCGTCCTGCGCACAGCCTTCGCGCACTCTGGACGCCGGTCTTCTCCTTCGTGTCCCAGGAGGCCCAGTCTTGCAGCTGCTGCAGCTGAGCACAGGCACTGCCACCTGCTCCACCGCCCTCAGCTATGTCCCCCATGCCAGGGTCTCAGAACACATCACCACGAGGCTTCCGAGGTGTAAGGCGGGTTTCCGTCTCAGGACCCCGCACTTCCCGCATCTCCGCGCCAGCAAAACTCCTCGCCAGCCCCGCCCACTCTCACCACCTCTCGCAGCAAGGACTCCACCTCTGTCTGGTGACAGGGCTGACGCAAGGGGTAACAAAGGCCAATTCCAGGAAGGCAGCCCAGCCCCACAGCCTGTCCCCCCACCACCTCCTTCCTCAGTGGCTTGCAGGGGCAGAAGTGTCAGCCTCACCCGATCCGCTCCTGCTCCATCTCCTCCATCTTCTCGGCCCGAGCGATCACTCTGTTGATGATTTCCTTCTCCTCGTCCGTCAGCTCCTCCTGCTTCCGCTGCCTGTCAGACTGTCCGCTGGGGTGGACAGACCAGCCTGCCTGGAGCCTGAAAGGCAGTGTGGGAGGGTGTGAGGCTGGCAGAGAACCAAAGGGATTTTTTTTTCTTGTATTTTAGGGAAGGGTCTATAGGGTGTTCAGGGTTTCACTACTAGATCGGACTCGCAGTGATCCGCCTGTTTACAGCCTCCCAAGAGCTGGGATTGCAGGCATGTGTCACCATGCCCAGTCTCAATTGCTGTCTCAGCATGCCCTGTGGACAGGGCAGACCTGGAAGGCCCGGGATTGAACCCCCAACCCCTGAGCCTGCTTGCAGGCGCTTTAATCTGCTGAGCTATTTGGCCGATCCTGTTCCTGATCTTGAGGGTCTCTAAAGCATGCAATCCTCTGGCCCCACAGCTCCAGGCCCCGCCAAGACCTAGAAGATAAACCAAAAGAGGGTGAGGAGGGAGGGGACGGTTGGGCTGGCAGGAGAGGGTCTCTGTAAAGCTGTGAAGCAGAGACAGCCCAAAGAGGGAAAGACCAAGGTGACAGGCAGCCTGGTGTCCCCAAGGGCCACTTCTCCCCACTACCAACCTTCTTCCTGCTAAATTTGGGCTGGTCCTGGGCGGCTCACTTAGTACACTGGAAGTGACCTTGGGCAGCTTGTAAGAGACAGTACAGAGTCCATCATGGCCTCTGGACCCTTTGCCCCAGGGGAAGCCGGACACCAGAGGCATCTGCTTTCTGCCACTTACTGCAGCTATCAGTAATTAGAAACCCTCTGGGTGAGGATAGAGATGGTGAGCAGGAAGCCCCATTGGCAGGGCCTACATTCAGTTTCATCTCTGAATTACAAATTCTTACCAACTCTAGAGCTTAAGACCTCAGTCTGATGGGCTCATGGCCCTCCCGGGCCAGTGTCAGCCTGGGCTTCTGCTTGAGGCTTCACACAGCTTTGGTCAAGGTGTGCAGGGCTGCATTCTTACCTGGTATCTCCAGCCTCCAAGCATATCTGGAGGCTGGCACCCCTCACCCGATGACATCCCCTGTTACTTTTAAGGACACAGTGCGCTCCTGCTCCCTGTACACAGCCTCCCCAAAGCATCCTTCTCAAAGCAGCCTAACTGTAACCCGCAGCAACCACGGCCCGGGCCCCGGTGGTCTCTATGGAGAAGGGGTTCATCGGCCCCATCCTTTCATCTCACAGCCCCACTTCCTCCCTGAGTGCTCTTTGAGTGCCCTCTGGTTATTTCCTGCTCTGATAGAGCTGAGCCACATCGAGCCAGGAGAGTTCTGGGCTGGGCCCAACGGAGACCCTTCAAGGACAGGTCCCTGAAGCTCCCGATCTGGTCAAGTCACAGTCATAGTCAGCCGCAGGCCAGCTCTGACCCAACTACCTGGGCTCCATGTGCACAGGAGACTTTGGTCCCCAGATGCTCATAGCTCCAGAGACATAAGCAGGGACGGGTGTCCCTAAGGCCCCTCTCAGAGTGACCGCACCATCTGCAAGGCTGCAGGAGCAGAAGGTGGCTGGAGGCTGCTGTCAGCTCGCCAACCCTCCCCCCATCTCCTGCCCCAGAACACACAGATGACAAACAGCTCATCCAGTGTTTGGAAATGTCCCGATTGGTCTCAGTGGGAGCCTGCAAGCCTTCTGTGGATTTTCATGTTTTAATTCCAAAAGCAAACAGAGAGAAATGAGATTGGCTTTTCAAACCAAAGCCTTTGCTCTCAAGGGACAGAAAGGGCTTGTTTGGGTCCCCTGTGCTGGGGAACATTGCAGATATGGTGACTTCAAGAGTCTGTCCTTGTGATAAGATGGTGACCACCTTGCCCTGGGCCTCTAGACACAGGATGTCAGCTCTATGTCCTTAGACCAGAGTTCAGTATTTGTTAGGATCCTGTTAAAATCAATGCTGTCAACCAAAGTGTCGCTTGCCTGGGACAAGCTAATTGGAGGGTTGTATCCAATCCAGGAAATGCCTGGAGGACCTACTGTGTGCCCACCTGAGCCTCCCTTGACCTGGTGGAATCAATGCCTGGCACCTGGGTTTGCCACCCCCTGGGAGCTTGGTGCTACAAGTCGCTGGTCTGTCTTGTTAGGTGGGTGGGCCCAAAGCAGACATCAAAGGGAAGATGCGTACTCACCCCACAGCGCATGGCAAGCAGCTTGCGGCCTCTTTGGACCATTCTCTTAATCTATGAAATGTCCCAAACTTGCAGTTCAAACTGATGAACACAAAAGATCTGCCCTGAGCAGGGACTGTAGGGACACTGAGGAGTCAGACAAGCCACCACTCCCCAGGAATGTCAGGAGTTTTCCAGACTAATGCTGCTAGTCACTGCTGGCTGGGGGACCTTCCACCCTCACAGCCCTGGGGCTACTCACAGTGACAGCCTTAGAAATTCCATCTGCAGTCTCTGTGAAGATGTCATATCCTAAGGGAGGGCTCGGAAGGAGTAGGCTGTGGAGCCACACAGCCTAGACTCCTCTTCTGGCTCTGTCCCTGCCTGCAGGTGTCTCACAACTTACTTGGCACTTCTGAGCCTTAGTTTGCTTGTCTATCAAAAGAGATGCTCTTGGTGTCACAGAATGCCTGGAGAACTTGAGGACAGGCGGAGGCATGATCAGCAAACACTCAGAAGCAGTTGGCTTGCATGGCTTCCTCTCCATTCAACATTTGGGCATAAAAGTGTGCCATAAATTCTGGCCATAGTGTATTAGGGGAAAGTCACCTACCTGGGGTGCACGTGGAACAGGCACTGAGTGTGAATGCGAGAGGGCACGCTTTAATAAGGAGCTGTAGGGAAGACAATGGCTCTGATAAAGCAGAGAGAGAACCCAAACAGGACAGTGTGCAACAGGGTCTTGGCTGGCGGATGGCATTTTGAAGTTAGAAACCTGCAGCCCTCTGAAGACAGCCCCAGTGCCTCAGTGACAAAAGTTCCCAAATAACCTTGGTATCTACCAATTGGGAATGCCAAGTAAACTATGGCTTATTGGTTGCACCTCACTGCTTTCAGGAAGGCCTCCCATGTGACCCCAGGCCTATTGCTTTTAAGGTGAACTTGTTACACAGCAATGGCTAGCTAATATGATATCTGCTCTAGCAAAAAAAAAAAAAAAGGAACATGAAGCTTTTTAGGCTCTCTACACTTATTTTTACGGATCAGTATCATTTAAAATCACAGCTGTGTAAAGTTCACCATGATATTTTTAATGCTCCCAGCCACGCCAGGTCTTTATCCAGCTCTACTTTTATCTTTCTTAAATATTTAGCTTTTGAATAAAATATTACTGGGAGAAAATCTTCACTGCCTACCAGATTCTAAAGATCACTGCTGCTGGCCTCCTCATTTTCCAGATGTGCAGCATGCAGGAGAGGGGAGGGAATGGCTACAAAATGGTGAGACACCAGCCTCCAGATGCTTCATCCACTGCCTGCATACAGCTTAAGACACTGGAAGCATCTTTCGGAAGCAGGCATCAGACACCCCAAAACAGAAGGAGGTCAGCCCAGTCTCGAGATCTGTCCCTAAATCCTGCACAGGACAGCCTGCCACCGCCTCACCATTTCCCACCTTGATTCCTCCTGTCACACACACGGTAGCCACGTAATAAATACCCGCCAGATGTCTCTATTAATAAATTAGATCTCCCCAAAGGTGTGGGATGATAGAAGGGCTGTCAGGATATGGAGGCTCCAAGGCTTTCCAGGGTGAGGAAAATTAATCCTTTTTCTTTCCTTTCTTCTTCTTTCCCTCCCTTCCCCTAGGACACCAATGTGGCAGGTGTCTGCAGCAAGCCTCTCTACAGCTCAGTGAGTGAGAGACACACGGCTCCTGAAGGAAAGGGTGGGAGGAAAGGCGGCCGCACCAATAAATGCCTTACACATGCCTGGCTGCTGCAGAGGCTGTTGGGGTGAAATGCAGGGTCCAGATTAAGAGGTACAGAAGAGGTGCTGGAGTCTCCCTGCCCTCCCGAGGCCAGGTCATGGGGGAGGGGCATCCTGGTGACTTTTCAGCCTGATTGCTTTCAGCCTGTTCGGCTCTTCTGAAATGTTGCACACTCTCCCTCCTTCCTATCACACCCACTTGGGCTCTGCAGGTGCTGTTGCCCACCCAGAATTCCTGTGTGTCCCACACGAGCTTATTGGTTGCACCTCACTGCTTTCAGGAAGGCCTCTCATGTGACCCCAGGCCAGGTGACACTCCTCTTGGTCCCACACTACAGCTCCTTACATGCTGCAGCATGTTTGGTGATGGCTGGCAGTTTGTCTGCGGATGCCTTTAGACACCGCCCCCCAAGCTTTGGCTATGTCTGCATCTCTGGGTGCTGAACACAGCGCTTAGCATTTAAGAAGTGCTTGGTAAATATTCTTTCAAGAGAGGGAAGGGAGAAGAAGGAAAAAGGAGGGACAAAGGAGAAGATGAGGCTGTGAGGCCATTAGGGGAGAAAGCAGTGAAGAAGGGGAGAGGAACGGGATGGGATACATTTCACCCCTCAACCTGAGCACCATGAATCTCCCCTTGTGATGAGCACCTTTATCATTTCATTAGGCCTCAGCGTCTTTCCCTTATGGGTCTTAACAAGAGACTCACAGTTTCATAAAAAGCAAATCTTGGGGCCGGGGAGATGGCTCAGTGGAATAAGCACTTCCTTGGCAAGCACAAGGGCCTGAGTTCAATCCCCGGTTCTGCCAAAAAAAAAAAAAAAAAAAAGCAAATCTTGCCTGGCCAGCATCCTACCAGCTAGCCACAGAGCCCTCAAATGGGCTTGAATAGCTGGCTTGAATCTCCCATCTGGCAGGTGGAGACACTGCAGTCCCAAGAGGGGAGAAGAATTTCCCTGAGGTGCCCTGGCTTAGCGTCATCTCTAAGCCATCAGTAGGGGTTCCGAGGATGCTATTATTCATGTCCAAAGAGGCTGATATGTCGCCCAAGGGCTCTCCCAGTAGAGGCTAAGTTGAGCAGGGTTGCAATTCACACCTTTCTGACTTGGCTGGGCACTTTACAGTTTACAAAGCTTTCCTGTGCTTCACATCTGATCCTCCACTGCCTTCAGAGGGTGATCACACACATTTAACAAAAAACACAGGACTCATTGGTGCGGGCTGGGGGGAAGGACCGTATCCAAAGCCACATGGACAAAGCTCCAGGGTTCGATGGTGGGGAAGAGGACAGTGTCTTCCTATGGTTTCTAAATTTGCACCTGTAACTGAAAATGGGCTGCTTCGCATCCTGCCTAATCCTTTATCGGACCCAGTGCCCAATCTGTTAAGCATGCTTAGGAAATGAATCCAATTAAAGCATAAAAGATGGGTCCCATGAGCCAAAGGTATTTTCCCTAGGAAACCAGGGTGGCTTCCAAGGAGGAGGCTGAGAAGGAGGGCGTGGCCCAGAGGAGCCCACCAGCTCTGCGCTACTTGCCATCAGCATTGCTGAATAACAGCAGCAACTGCAGCTAACGTTTTCCTTATCTAAGGAGAGTGTTTCCCACTAAATGCTGCAGAAATGGGCAGACAATGATTAATGACCTTACTGCCACTCCACAGATTGTGACCAAGGATGGCAGGAACATTTTTGCATCCTTCTATCAAATTTGTTTCTGTTTAAAAAGATTTCATACGTTCTGTGTCCCAGAGATAGGTATTTTCAGTTTTAGTCATTTGGATTTTTAAAAGATATATAAAACATATTACTTTTCAACCATCTATCTTTAGGGACAAGCTATCTTGATGAGAGAAAGGATGAAATTCAGGATGGAGACAAACATAAGTGTCATAAAATACTCACTGTTCTTTATCACTGAAGGAAGGCAAAGCGAGGAGAGAAAGAAAAATGAATAAAGTTAAACGAGAAATCTTGCAACCATACCAATATTTAATGGATACACCAGCCAGATGGCTTGAGTCACAAGGTTCTAATTCAATTTTTATTCAGTTATTGTCTTATTTCAGCACGTGCAAGGCAGAGCTGCTTCCACACAGGGCAACCAAATCCATACCTATGGTTAAGTTGACCAATCTGTTCAGCTTATTAATGAGCCGAGCATTCAGGTGTTTGAATATTGATTTTGACACCAGTGTTATGACCGTCCTCCACTACCTTGGTTGTCATTATTTCAAAAGCCATGTGTGGTGGGGGCGGGGAGGGAAGGTGCACAAGTAGGTCAATGCACCTTGAGTGGTACATGACACCAGGCCCCAGGCTGGAGAAGCCAGTCCTTCTGATCCAGAAGGGGACCGGCATCTCCTCTTCCTAGGTGAGAGACTGTAGGCAGAGGGCTCTGTCTTTGTGCCTCAGTTTCTACCTCCCATCTCTGGTTTCTCTGGCTTGCAGACACAATAGCTCAATACAAGCATGGGGACCGGCACCTCTCTCTGTGAATTTCCAACATGGAGAGCCCAGCCAAGCCAGAGGCAGGCACATCGGTCCCTTTCAGGTCCCATTCGGCTGGTTTTACAAACGATCCGCAGGCTCAAGGAAGCTGTGAGGGGAAGACATTTGGAAATCACAAAAGTAGCATCTCTGACTAGCCTACAGTACATGAAGACTGGATTCCTCAGTCTACTAGAGGAAGACATGAGTGTGGCCTCTGTTAGTGCGTCACACTACAGCTGAGTAGCGAGCATGTGTGATGACTGTAATTCACCCACCAGCATTTATTGAAAAATAATTTTAATATCTGGAGAAAACACGGTAAGCAATCAAGACAGCTGGATGCGCTTGGAATGCCAAGATGTTTCATGGGAGCCTAGGAGCACTTTAATGAAACGGCATCCAGACTGAATAATTTTAATTTAATTGTGAGGCAAATTGTTTGGCTTCATATCAACTAAAGTAAATTCTGATGGATGGGATTTTAATTAACTGACATTTCTTAAATAAAATATTTTACTCCATCCGCCCTCCCGGCAACTGTTTATCTTACAGAGACACACTCTTTGGCAGGCAGAATACTGTCTGCAAAATCAGTTTGGGCCCAAGAAGATATCATAGAAAGGGCTTTGGAAACTGGAAATTTACTCTATGAAAGGAAACCAGCAGAGTTCAGCAGTGTCTTCAAAATGCTGAAGTTCTCAGGGCTAGAGAAAGTTTAAGGTAGAAATCACAAACATAAGAATGGTGGGCAATGGGCTGCGGAGATAGCTCAGTGGAATAAGTGCTTGCCTGGCAAGTGCAAGGTCCTGAGTTTGATCCCTGGTACCACCAAATGAAATAAAACAAAAACCTGAATTGTATAAATTTAATTTTTTATAAGGGAGAAGGAAGAAGGAAGAAGGAAGAAGGAAGAAGGAAGAAGGAAGAAGGAAGAAGGAAGAAGGAAGAAGGAAGAAGGAAGAAGAAGAAGAAGAAGAAGAAGAAGAAGAAGAAGAAGAAGAAGAAGAAGAACCTTCCCCAGTATGTAAATAGATCCCAGAGAGATTAAAGCAAACCCTTCTAAACCCATGAAGGGATTGCTGTAAAGGAGTATCATTCTCCATGACTCTGCTCTTTTTCAAAGCAAGCAAAACAGACATCATCAAAACCTTATCTCCTTCCAAAGTCACTGTTACGAAAATGCATGTGGTAGACTGAGGGCAAGTATTTGAAAAATGCTTATTTAACAAAGGACTTTTACCTGAAACGTTAGAAAACCTGTAAAAATTACAAGAAGATAAATGACCTGATTTTTGAAATGGACAGCAGATTTGAACGGATACTTTGACAAAGGTGTTTGATTAATGGCAAGATTATATAAGATGTTCAACATCATTAATCATGAAGGACATGCAAATTATAAAACATAATGAAATGCACCTGTGCACTCACTAAAATGGTTAAAAATAAAAAGACTGAGTATAACAAGTGCTGGGGAAGCAGCGGGGAGGATGGAACTCTCAGGCACTGCTGGTGGGAGTCTTAACAATGGGACACCCCAATTGGATAGCAGTTGAGTAATTTCTTAGAAAGTTGAACCAATACCTACCACATGACTGAGATTCCCCTCCTAGGTAATCATACAAGAGAAATGAAATCATATTTTATACGAAGTTTTGTCTGTGCATCAGTGGTTGAATGTGACATATTCACAAAAGGAATGTTATGCAGCAATGAAAAGGGGGAAAGCTCTGGTAGCCAAACAGTATGGCTGGATCACAAAGTAATCACAGAGCAAAAGGAAGCAGATTCTCTTCCCTTTTCATCCAAAAAGTACACATTGTGTATTCCACTTACATAAAACTCTAGGCAAGACAAACTAACTTATAGATACAGAAAAGAAAGTGAGGGTTACTTAGAGATGAGTAGGAAGAAGGCAGGCAAGAGCGAGGGGGGAAAGACGCGGCTCCAGGAAGTCTGGATGGATGTGGTGATTGTCGTGAGCATTGTGACGGCCTCAAAGGTGTGCGTATATGTTTACAAACCACCAAACTGTACTTTCACAGGCTTTAAGTGATTACTGTTGGTAGCATGTTGATTATTCCTTTACAAGGTCATTAAACATGAAAAAGAGAATCCAGGAAACTGCACCCAGGACAGCTGCCTCTGAGGCTGACCTGACCTCCCCCTCCCAGGCAGGGAGCTGGGCCTGAGGCCCCACATGGAGCCGCAGTCCGGAGGCAGTGAACATGATCTGTGAGGAGGCAAATGGCATCCTCCTGGGAGAAAAAATGTCCCCAGGGCAGGTCCCAGGGATTCTCACAGACGGGATTCATGAGATCACCTCACCAGGCATTCAAAGTGGCAAGTCACCACGCATGAAAATCTGCCAGGAAGATACACAAAATGGGTTGTCACGGGCTCTGGGAAGCAAAGTACCAAAGATGTTTAACTTCTTATCTCAAGCAAAAGTCCCACTATGACAGATAGGGCTCCATCCCATCTGTGGTCACATTCAGAGCTGGGGAGAAATCCACAGTGGTGTTGGTCACCTCTGTATAATACAAGTTAAGAGTAAATTAATATAATTTAATCTTTAATAACTAACAGTAACAGGCTTGCAAAACTCTTAAAGAATTAACCACAGTTCTAATGAACCCTTGTGGCACAGATCAGCTGACCACAGAGCAGGTATAATAATTACCTGGTACAGAATGTAAAGTTACTGTACATTAAGGAGGTCATTGTGGATTATAAATTGATCAAGGACCAACAAACTAGAAAAATAAATGGTCAAGAAGACATTAAAAAGAGGGCTGGGGAGATAGCTCAGTGACCCAAGCGCCTACCTAGCAATTGCAGGGACGGGGATTGGATTCCCTGTACCGAATGCTGTGCCAGCCCTGCCCTACCCCAGGTGTGCTGAGCCGGCCACTGAAACGGCATCGTGGTGCTCGCCTATAATCCCAGTGCTGGGGAGGCCGAAAAACAGGAGGATCACTACAAGTCTGAGCTGCGTAGTGAGATCTTGTACCAAATACATTAAAAAAAAATTTTTTTTAAAGACACTAAAAAGAAAAAGTTTCAGAAATAAAAATGGTAACTATTTAAGATCCTAAAAATGCAGCACAGGGGTTTGATGGGAAATTACTATGCTTCGGGATGACACATGTTCAGAATGACAGTGGCAAAGAAAGGCAGCCTAAAATATAGAACGCAAGATTAAAATCGCAGGAAGAAACTGATAAGCCCACCACTGTTCAAGATTTTAACATACTACTCAGAAGCTGGCAGAAAAAAAGGAAAGCTCAGAAATGCCTTGAGTGCAACCAATCAGCGTGTCTTAGGTGAGAGGATTGGTCTCCCGGTTGTTAGAGAGAGAGCCATTTTCTCACGTCGTCGCCAAGCACGTTCTAACTTGTAAGCTAGATCTTAACACATCACAGAGTCAGTGCCATCCAAAGCCCATTCTCTGGCCGCAAGGCAGTTAACATAGAGATTAATAGCAAAAATATCAGGAAATTAACAAGCCTCAAACACTCAAAAAGTTTAAAATACTACTCATGTGCTGCTCAATCACTCTTGGGTTAAAGAAGAAACCCTAAGGTAAAAGTTACGGCACAAAATGCTGAGGAGATAGCTCAGTGGACCAAGCGCCTGCTTTGGCAAGAGCAGGGACCAGCATTCGATCCCCAGGCCCGCTCGCCGTGCCAGCCCTGCCTCAGGGGCACACTGAGCCAGTGACTGAGTACAGGCATGGTGGTGCACACCCGTAATCCCAGCACAGGGGAGGCTGAAAACAGGAGGATCACTGCCAGTCTGAGCTGCACAGTGAGGCCCTGTACCAAAACATAAAATGGAAAAAAAGTTACAACACATGGAACTGAGAAACAACGTGACACAATTTGTGAAAGCCTGCAGGAAAATTTGAACGTGACACTTTGTCTATCAGATGTATGATTATTAATAGGAGAGGCAAGAAGCCTTGAGGAGGTAAATATACAGTGGAAGCAGTCACAAGGGGTGGAATAACCCAAGAAACAAGAAAGCATGGTCTAATGAAGCTAAGAGCAGAAATTAATAAAATAGCAAGGGATGGGCAATATGAAGCAACTGACAAAGAGTACTCCTTTCTGACCTCATTCCTAGCTTATGAGGGCTTCCAGAAGGAAGTCTCAACTTGTAGCTAATCAACGTTTAATGTTTGCCTGCAGTTTGTTGAGTTCCACCCTGCTGTTATGTAATTATTAGCACGTATTCTTTGTACAAACTAATGGACTTCCTTTGTGACATTTTCATACATATCTATACGTCACATATTATAATCATACCCCCCACTTTGCAGCCCTGGGGACTGAGCTCAGGGGTTCCACGCTCAGCTACACCCAAGCCCCTCCCCAACCTTTTAAATTTTTGTCTTTTTTTTTTAAATTTTGAGACAGCATCTCGCTCGTTGCTAAGTTGCCCAGGCTGGTCTCAAACTTGCAACCTGCCTGCCTCAGACTCCCACAGTGCTGGGATGACAGGTGTGCGTCAACCATAACTGGGTTGATCATAACCCTTTAGAGGAAGTGGAAATCAGAGCCTTGAAGGCTAAAGGATGTTGCCAGGTACGATGACGTTGTTTTATTTATTTATTTATTTATTTATTTATTTATTTATTTATTTATTCCTATGGCAATCTTCTGTTCCAGGAAAGCATACGCTCCCTATTTGCATATATCCACTGATGACCTTCAATCTCCTTGTTAAATGAAAGTGTCTGCTTTGTGAGTTGATTTAGAGAAGAGGGCAGTGTTGGTGTTGCATAGACCAGGTATAAATTGGGACAGGACACTGAAAGGCCCACCTTTAGAAATAAGAAAGGATCTCTGTTAAGAACCCTTTCCATAGTCCTTGGGCAGGCCAGAGCCTCTTCCTGACACTCCTTTTCTTTTTTCGGTACTGGGGACTGAACTGAGACCTTGCACATGCTAGACAAGCCACCAGGCTCCACGCCTTTCTGAAATTTGAGTGTGAGACAGGCTGATATTAAGATGCCCAGGGTGGGCTTGAATTTATAATCCTCCTGCCTCAGCTTCCTTAATAGCTGAGTACTCCTCCTTCCCTGAGGTAATCAGATTACCCTCCTGGCTTATCCAGAAGGTGCAGTGTGTGGCTGGGTCTAAAATACCACTCAACACATACTCCACCAAGAGCATAGTTACCTGTCTGCAGAGAGCAGCCTCTGCCCACATTCATACTGCTAGTTTATCGTAGCTGATTGAAAAGAAAGTTTTGTGCTATTATCTGTTCGTTTCTTCTTTGTAGGAATCTTTTTTCTTTTGTCTACGTCTTATACCCTGAATCATTACTTTTAGGATTATAAAATCAGTGTATGCACTGCTGTTATTGTTATGAAATTCAGTTTCTTTTTTTCATACAATAAAAAAATAAAGCTAGCAGTAGCCTCTGAGCTGCTGATGCAGAGGAATTTTGATCCAAGATTGTCAGCTCTTTTGTTTGTTTAAGAGGTGCCAAAAATTTGGACTTAAATGAGATCTCTGAGTTCTTACCTGATGTGGTCCAAAATTAAAGTATAAATAAGGACGTGCAACTCCTGCAAGTTGGAGTCAGCCTGCACCTACCAATATGTGGTCTGACTGAGTTCAACGACCTTGTTTGTCTCATGGGGAACTTGAGGCCAGAGAGGGCAAGGGCTTTGATCATACAGTGAGTTTTCTCAGCTCCCCAGGGAACCCAGGCTGTGTCCATTCCCTTCCCCACCAGCTCCCCCACCCAGATCAGCCACACTGCCTCCAACGCGCTCTTCCAACCTTGCAAAGATGCCAAAGCACAGAAATTCCCACAATAAACTCCCCCACGCGGAGAGGAGATTCCACTTCCTTTCTCAGGCTTCCTCCCTTCTTCAAGGACAGCGACTGTCCCCATCCTGCAAGCCCCTCCCAGGAGGCCCGAGACTGACCTGGACTGCAGGGGCCGGTCGCTGGGGTACATCCATCGGTTCGAGCTGCTACTGACCACGGTGTCTGTCATGGTGCAAGGCTCAGCCGTGTGCTCCTGGAAGACACCAACCCAGAGGGGACATCACACAGCTGCTGAGGCTCCATCCTCCCTGTCCCTATGCTTTGTTTGTGGGAAAGCAGAGGAGGGCAACCTCACCCTGAGTCTCTGTTTACAGATAGGGTCTCAAGAGGGGCCATGTCCTGCTGGAGGTCACGGTCATCTAGTAGCAGGAAATGAACCCAAATCAAGAGTCCCTTCCCTTCAATCTCAGTCCTTCCTACCCCACCCCCTCTTTATTTTGGACACAGTTATCACTGAATTCTTGTTATCCAGTCTTGGCTTGAACTTGTGGTCCTCCCACCTCAGCCTACCGGACAGCTGGGTTTACAGGTGCTGCCACCACACCTGGCTTGTCCACCCCATTTTGATGTGAAGCCTGCAGCAGGACACACCTGGAATCTAGGGTCTTCCTGTGGGACTATGTCATCGGACTCATTCACCCCAGCATATTCCCTGATTCCCTTTAGAGCTCTACATCCAGGCCAGCAGAAAGCCCTGCTGTTGATCTTCCAGATGGACCAAGGATCCACCCACTGCTTCTAGCCTGCTTTGCTGCTCCACAAACCCAAGCTACACGCCTTCCTGGCAGCAACAGGAGCTGATCAATACGGTTCCTCTGTGAATCTAACATTGCCCATGACAGGTCTGGCCCCACACGGTGGCCAGGGAGAGCTTGACAAACCCATGTCCCAACCACAGCCTGCATGGCTAGACACAGAGCTACCACAGGCCTGGCCGTTCCGCTCCTAGGAATCTCCCAGCGAGAAGTGAAAACACAGCACACAAACTCATACACAAATAAATGCTCACAGCCGTGTCACTCCTAATAGCCAGAGTAGAAACCAATATTCACCAACTCTCCAGTGAATGAGCAAGATAGCGACTCTGTGCATTGAAAATTATTCAATCACAAAAGGAAATGAAGCATTGACACAAAAGGTCACACATGGGATACTTGCATTTACATGAAATATACAAAATCGATAAATCTGTAAGGGACAAAAAGTACGTTAGCAGTTGCCTAGGACTGCAGGGCAATGAAGGTGCAGGGTTTCCTTGCGGGGGTCATGAAACCATTTTAAAATTGACTGTAAGAATGGCTGCGTGACTCTGAGCATACAAAATTGTCCACCTGAAATGGGGAAACTGTATGATACATGAGTTATACACATCAAAGCTGAAAGGCTACTTTGGATAATGAGTTTTTGGCAATGCCCACCAAAGCTGAAAGTTCCTCTAGTCTGTGGCCCAAGAATGTCACCCAAATGCATGCCCGAGGTCTGACCTCAGCGATGGAGGGGATGTTCCTAGTGCCTTCCCCCATCATAGTTACAGACAGGGAGCAGCCCGTGTCCCTCAGCAGCAGACTGGATAAATCAGTCCTGATTTCTTCATGCCATGGGATGCTGCTCAGTGATAAGGGACAAACTCCTGAGAGGCGTAAAACCCTCCATGAATCTCATAGACATTGTGTTTAGGGGAAGGAGCCAGCACCCAAGGAGGATGCACTATTTGATATTTACACGAAGGTTCTGGACAGGCGCATCTGACAGGGATAGGAATCTGAGCAAATCAGTTGCTCACTTCGGGGCATGGGATATTGACTGGAGGGAAGAGAATGGTATGAGAATGGTCCATAGCTCAATCTGGGTCCCTAACCAGGTATGGGCACATGCAAAAATCAGAAGCCAACCTCTTAAGATGTGTGTCCTTGTACCTCAGTAGTGTCCCAAATTTTCTGATCAAGAAGATTATGGGGCCAAAGAGGAAAGTGATCGATGACATAGAGTGGGCCTAAGGAGAGTCACAT